TTCTTTTTAAAAATGTTTTAAATTTGTTTGAGAGTCAGAGAGATGGAGACAGATGGACAGAAAGAGGTAACTCTCATCTGTTGACTTATTCCCCAAAATGGCTACAGTGGCTGGGCCAAAGCTGGGAGCCAGGAACTCAATCTAGGTCTCCCACATGGGTGACAGTTACCTAGTTACATAAGCTATCACCATTGCCTCCCAAGGTCTGCATTGGCAGGAAGCTGGAGTTAGGAGCTGGAGCTGGGATTCTAATGTAGGTACAAATATGGGAGACAAACATCTTAAATTCTAGGCTAAACATCTGCTCCCTGCGAATAAATTTTGAATAAAATCTTCACATGTTCATTTTCCACTGGGACCTTCAATTTATATAGCAAGTTCTGGTCAACAGAGTGAACCTGAATCTGAAACACCAGAGCTCAAATCCAAGCTCTAACATCAGCTGGCTGTATGATCTTATGGGACAAAGACTAAAGGGTACTATACAGCAGATTTCAATAGATCTTATTAGTATTATTATCAGTGACAAAGATCTAGGTGCTATTGCAAAGGCACCAAGGTACCAAGCAGTGCTGAAGTTGAGCTGTCTTCTAACTTCATTTCTGTGAATACATTTCTGCTGTGGATATGTATATTGACGTCACCGTCCTTGTGGTAAGACAGGCCAAGATAATTTTCCTAATTGCATGCTTCACTGACACATTTTATGCCAGAACCAAAGGAGAGTAGGTGTTATTTCAGATCTGTGAATCATCACCACACACTCACGCGCAGCTTATTTCGTATAGATTTAAACGAGTTGAATTCTAACCAAGATAATGGAGATATTATTTTAGAATGTAGAAACATGCCCATATAAAGACAATTTGCTATTGAAAATACTTTACTTCTTCTGCGTGGGCTTGTCAAGTCATTTTATTTGCTATACTTGTTCAGTTCTTGAATGCAATATTCTCAACCATAGAAGGTACAAATCAAAAAAAAAAAATCATCAGACCCATTTTTCTAGGACTGCATTCTAATTATCACCTTTCCATGAATAAATTGGTTGTATTGTATTAGAATATAGTTTGTGCTAAGTTAGGAATAAAATATAGAGGTAAGGCTAAGTGGAAGCATTTTCTTCCATTTTGGCCGAATACCCTTTATTAATTCCCTGCTCATTACTGTAATTAAAAGTAACCTTTGTCACCACTTGTTCTTTTAAAATTATTTCTGAAGTTGAGAACAGATTTTTAAGATGTGAAATGGATTTTTAAAAAGGTTTTAATACATTAAATATGTCATGGCATTCTACTTAGTGGAAAAACCTCAGCTTCCATACTGTGATAGGACACTTTCCTCCAAAGAGTAGAATGCTAGTTCTAGATGCAAACTTTTCGGTGGCTAGAGAGAGAAATTTGCTCCTGTGTTGTGAGAAGTGAGTTCTTTTCCCCAGTCAAGGATGGTTTTATGGTTGCCTGAGAGGTCAAATTGGTCTTGAGAATCTCTCTAAATTTAACCTTGGGCTTCACATCATCACTTAAGTCATTAAGGCTGGCGCTATGGTGCAGCAGGTCAAAGCCCCAGCCTAAAGCACCAGCATCCCATATGGGCACTGGTTTGAGTCCTGGCTGCTCCTCTTCCGATCCAGCTCTCTGCTATGGTCTGGGGAAACAGCAGATGATGGCCCAAGTCCTTAGGGCCCTGCACTCTCGTGGGAGACCCAGAAGAAGCTCCTGGCTCCTGGCTTCAGATCGGCTCAGCTGTGGCCATTGCAGCCATTTGCTGTGTGAACCAGCAGATGGAAGACCTCTCTCTATCTCTATTTCTCTCTGTAACTGTATTTCAAATAAATAAAAATATTTAAAAAAAATAAACTTATAAATGCAGTGATATGGATTTAGGGACAATTTTCTCTAACTTTATATCTGACTTAATTTTTTTGATTATGCTAAAACCTACAAAACATAAAATTTATCATTCCAACCATTTTGAAAATATGCTGTTCAGTTGTTCTAAGAACATTTACATATCTTTTGTGTTTTAGAGGCCTTCAATGCCTAAATCTTCGTAGTTGTTTCCAAATATTTGTAGATCATTTGTTTAGGTACAAAAGGAAATTACATGCCTCTGAAGTCCCCAAGGAGTGCTCATGAGAGGGCATCTCATACCAGGCAAGGGTGGGTGTGCCTCAGGACTCAGCAGGAAGCAAGAGGGAAGGGGGACAGATGTTTTGAGAAAGATTAAAGACTGACTCATGCCTCCCCCGATTCTTGAGAATTCTAGAATTGTTTTCTAAATGCATTTCTGTGAATACAGTTTTGCTGTGATGTGTATATTGAAGTTATTGTCCTTGTGACAAGATAGACCAAGATAATTTAAATTGTGTGTCTGAGACTTCTGACTTTATCAGTTGTGTCTTTTTCTTCCCTTTTATCCTTTCTTTTTCAGTTGACTTCCTATCCACATGTAAACAAAACAAAACAGAAAAACCAAACCAAATGAACAAAACCTTCCCTTATCAAAATTCCTCATTTTAATTCTATATGTTTTTTGTTTATTCTTTTAAAAAATTATTTACTTTTAGTTATTTGGAAGGCAGAATGCCAGAGAGGGAGGGGGAGGGGGAAAGGAGGAGATTTATCTTCCATTTGATGGTTCACTCTCCAGTTGCTACAACACTCAGTGCTAGGCCAGGACAAAGCCAGGAACCTGAAACTCCAGCGGGGACCCAAGTGTTTTAGCCATCATCTGGTGCCTTCCAGGACGCCCATTATCAAGAAGCTTTATGAGAAGCAGAAGCGTGGGGCCAGTGTTATGGTGTGTAACAAGTTAAGCCAGTGGTATTCCATCTGGTCCTAGCTGCTCCTGCTCCCTGTGAACGTACCTTCCCAGCAGTGAGATGGCTCAAGTGCTTGGGCCCCTGCTACTCATGTGGGAGACTTCAGTGGTGTTCTTGGCTCTTGGCTTTGTAGTAAGACATTTGGATAGTGAACCAGCATATGGAAGATTCTCTCTCTCTCTCTTGCTCTCTTGCTCTCTTTCTCTCTCTCTCTCTCTCTCACACACATACATATACACAGACACACACACACACACACACACACACACACACATTGCCTTTCAAATAAATAAATACATAAATACCAAAGAAGACAACAAAAAAGAAGCAGCAACAGAGGTAGACTCTCAGGCACTTTGATAGGGATGCAGGTATCTCAAGTAGGGCCTTAACCAACAGTGTCACAATGTCTGCCCCTGTTTACTCTTTTTAATGTAAGACTGTCTCCCCTCTCAAATCTATACAAGCATGTGCCTGATTAAAAACCTTGAGTCATTTTCCAGGCCCTTGGACAAAGAACAACAGTACCTGCCTCTCTGTTGCTTCTGATTTCCCAGAGACAATTACTTTCCAGTCTTTTAACTTTTTTTAAAATTTGTGTCATCTCAAAATAACATGTTTATTCAATTTTTGGCCAGCTTTGGCTAATGGGAACTTTTTTACACTGGTTTCCATAGAACTTTTTTTTTTCCCTGAGCTTTTCTTTGCCTTTTTTCTGACACTATAATTACTTTTCTTCCAGTTCATCTTGTATTTTCTTTTATTTTTGAAATTTGTTCATTATTTATCTTTGTTTATTTGAAAGGCAGCATGACAGAGATAGATAGAGAGGTCTTGATCTGCTGGTTCATTCCCCAAATGCCTTCAACACCCAACACCAGGCTATGCTGGAACAAGATGCCAGGAACTCCTTCTGGGTTTTCTACTTGTGTGACAGGAACCCAATCACATGGGGCATCATCTGCTGCCTCCCAGGGTGTGCACTAGCAGGAAGCTGGATCATAAGTGGAGTAGTCAGGACTTGAAACTGCACTCTGATATGGAATGTGGGGATCCCAAGCAGCTGTTTAAATCACTGTGCCACAATTACTGTCCCTTTGTCTAGTATTTTTCTCATCATAACACTAGGATAAGTCATTCTCAAGGAGCCTTGGTTTCTTTTATTGAAGAATGATTTTTAGAAACCAAGATTTGGGCACAAATATACTCACTGTTGCTTGGTGGATATTCCCTCTAGGCCTTCACAGTGGACAGAGCTAGGAAATGTATGAGGAATCTTCAAAAAGGTCTCATGGAAAATGAAAAAAAAATTGTACATGGATTTCAAAATTTTTCTGTACCAAAATAAACTTATCTTTCAGTTACATCATTCTACAAACTTTAAGTAGCCTTATATGCATGTGTTTCCATGAATACACAGTCTGTTTCTCTATCTATATACCTGCTTACCTACCAATCAGTGCATTAAACTTAATGTAAATTCATGCTGATGTCTCAAACTCTAACTTAGTGTCACAGGTTTATTCTAGTTTCCTCTTTTTTTTTTTTTTAAGATTTATTTATTCATTTGAAAGTCAGAGTTACAGAGAGGCAGAGGCAGAGAGAGAAAGAACTTCCATCCACTAGTTTGCTCTCCAAATGGCCGCAATGGCTAGAGCTGGGCTGATCCAAAGCCAGGAGCCAGGAGCTTTTTCTGGGTCTCCCACATGGGTGTAGGGGCTCAAGTACTTGGGCCACCTTTCACTGCTTTCCCAGGTGCATTAGCAGGGAGTTGGATTGGAAGTGGGGCAACCAGGACTTGAACCGGCACCCATGAGGTATGTGGGAACTGCAGGCGGCAGCTTTACCCAGTATACCACAGTGCTGGCCCCTAGTTTCTCCTTATGTTGATTTGTCACTTTTCCTTCTTATTGGCTCCTGTTATCTATGATTTATCATTCTTCAACATTAGCACTGTTGTAAAGTACTTTCAGAAGTCTTAACCTGTATCCATGTAAGAAACTAATTTCCAGACTAGAGTATAACATTTATCTACAGTTGTTCTTATCTTTGGTTTTACATTTTGAATCAAGATACCATTTTCCAAAGGTGCTTTAGTTCAGCTCCTTCCCTATCCTTTTCACTAGAGATGTCGTACATTTTCATTTAATATTTTTTTAATTTCTTTATTTGACAGGCGGAGAGACAGAGGGAGAGAGAGAGAGAGAGCACCTATCCACTGATTCATTCCCCAGATGCCCACAGTGGGTGGGACTGGCCATGACCTGGCCGAAACTAAGAGCTGGGAATTCAACACAGGTCTCCCATGTGGATGTCAGGAACCCACGTACTTGAGCCTTCACTGCTGCTTTGCAAAGTCTGCATTATCAGGAAACTGGAGTCACGAGCTGCAGGCAGGAACTGGAACCAGGTAGTCTTGATGTGGGATGTGGATGTCTTACACTACATCTTAAATTATAGGCCAGTGCCCACCCTCTGCTATACATTTAACATAATTGTTAAGTTTTTATTTTTATTTTACTTGAAAAGGAGAGAGATGGATCTTCCATCCACTGGCTCACTCTCCAAATTGCCACAACAGCAAGGGCTGGGCCTGACTGAAGACTGGAACTTGGAACTCTATTCAGCTCTGCCAGGAGTGTGACAGGGACCTCTGTGGTGTGCATCCATAGAAAGCTGGATCACAAAATGAGGTAGCCAGGACTTGAACCAGTCACTCTGATATATGATGTGGATATCCCAAGCAGCCCCTTAACCACTACACCAAATGCCTGCCCTGTCATTCATTTTTCTTACAGTCATCATCTACATTTTGTACTGGAATCCTCCAATATCCTAGTAGAGTTTTAAAAATTTACTCATGTTAAAGTTTACCCTTTTTGATGTACACTTCTATTGGCTTTAAAAAATATAGAGAGGGGTGGGCACTGTTGCTCCCCCACTCACGGAGGAACAACACCGGACCCTGCGCTGTTCTTTTTGCCCGGCCCTTCCCGGATTTGCTGCCGGCCCCCCACTCGCAGAGGAATGACGCCGTCCTGGGTTTGCTGCCGCCCCCCCCCACACCTCCACGGAGGGGCGGCACCCCCGCTGCTTTCCCCGCTTCCGCAGAGGAGTGGCACACCGCTGGCCAGCTCTCTCAGGGGTTGCTCAGATGTTCCTCAGATGTTCCTGGTGCATTTTGTCTCTCTCCTCCTTTATAGTCCTCTTCCACCAATCCTAACTCTGCTGCCCACACACCAAGCATGCTGCTCTCCTCCAATCAGGAGCAGGATCAGCTCCTGCAGCTTGTTAGTTGAATTGGTGAGGCAGCTGTGTGGAAGTTGTTTGCTCTCTCTCAGCGCCATATTGTGGGAGATCTTCCGCTACCTTTCCAGGCACATTAGCAGGGAGCTGGTCACAAGTGGAGCAGTTGGGAGTCGAACCAGTGCCCATGTGGCATGCCTATGTTGTAGGTGGCGACTTAACGTGTTACACCACAAAACTGGCCCCTGTAATTATTTTAGAGATAAGAGAACCAAAAAAAATTAATTAGGAAGATTTGTCCAAGAAATTGTTGATATTAGCATGCAAACTAGAAGGTGCATTTTAATTTTTTTGTTATTAGTCTTTATTTAAATATTTGTTTATTAATTTCATCTTTTCCCCAGTGTAAGAGGGAGCTGGCCATGTAATAACTAGTTTTTCTTAAATGAGATAAATTTTTTCTAAATCATCTCTCAGGAATAATAAAATTGAGTACTATTTATAACAATTCCATTACTTAGGGTGGTATTTCATTCAGCAGTTAAGCCGCTGCTTGGGATGCCCATATCCCATATTGGAGTCCCTAGTTCAAGGCCCAATTCCAGCTTTCTGCTAATGTGCACCCTGGGAGGCAGCAGGTGATGGTACTTAAGTCACTGTCTTCCATATGGGAAATCAGGATTGAATTCTAGGCTCTTTGCTTCAGCCTGGCCCAGTTCTGACTATTGAGGTCATTTGGGGAGACCTTTCTGTCTCTCTTTCTGTGTCATATACATAAATGCATGAATTGTAAAAAATAAACATTTTTAATAAAAGTGAAATAGTTCATTACAATAACCATAGTGGCAATAATAAAAATAACTTATATTTGTACAACATCTTATTATTCACCAAGCATATATTATCCAGTTTTACTCCCACAGAAATGCTTTTGAGGTCGATAGAAAAAGTATTATTTTTCTGTTTTACAAATTGAAAGCATAGGCTCAGAGAAGTTAATTGGCTTTCCTAAGGTACAGAAGAAGCGGTGCAGATTGAATTTGAACCAGGTCTGTCTGATTCCAAAATGTTTTCTCCTAACTATTCTACCCTGCACATACTACAACATGGCAAATACATAATAAACACATCTGTTGCTCAGCAGATTATATGTACTCAGAGATCTAATCTGACAGGAGAAGAAAGTTTTTAAGTGTCAATGATGACTCTAATTCTGAAATTAGGCATCAAAAAAGTGGGCACAATCTAAAAGTAATTCTGTATTCTGTAGTACACCAAATGTATTATGGTAAGCACACAACCTTAAAATGTAGAAATTACAGTACCCTCAGATATAATATCCATCAACATAATGGAGAGTTTTGTCTCTGTAGAGACAGAAATTGAAGCTCAGAGAAGTTAAGTACAATAGTTGAAATGTACTTAATCCAAATCCCTCTGTTTCTAAAATGCATGCTCTTTCTGGATTACTGTGGTTGACCACAAGAGAAATATCCATGTAGGAAAATTCTTCAGGGAGCGGGGAAAAAGAGCTGACCCTCTTCAACCAGCTCGAACACAAAGCTCTGCCTTGAAGAGGATTAGTGAGTGAGACAAGCACAGGCAAGGCACTGGTGGAACTAAGATCAGGCTGCCTGCCAGGCAGGACGCCGTGAGAATGGCTGTGGCTCGGATAGGCAGCCAAGAAGACATCACCTTTCTTGGCTTGGTGCCCTGGATTATACTTCTGATATCTTTGTCTATTGTCAAGAATACAATGCAAATAAAATCTTATAGTCTTTCCACGGATTTGTCAGCACTAATAGACACCACTTAGTTTTGATTGTGTCCCTTGACAAGGACACATGCCTCATTGTATTCTTTTTTTGAATCATGTGTTTCTCTGTGGTTTTTAATGAAGCATATTTTTAATGATGACATAGTCTGGATTTCCTAGGAAGATAACTCTGATTTCAAGTTTTGTTATGTTTCCCATAAGAGTGTTTCAGCTTATATTGGTCCAGATTTTTTATTAAGAAAATAGTTAAGGGGTCCAGCACTGTGGCAAAGCAGGTAAAGCTGCCGCATGCAGTGCTGGCATCCCATATGAGCCCCAGTTTGAGTCTTGACTGCTTCACTTCTGATCCAGCTCTCTGCTATGGCCTGGGATAGCAGTGGAAGATGGCCCAAATGCTTGGGCCCCTGTACCCGCTTGGGAGACCTGGAAGAAGTTCCTGGCTCCTGGCTTCAGATTGGCCCAGCTCTCACCGTTGTGGCCATCTGGGGAGTGAACCAGTGGATGGAAGCCTGCCCTCCTCTGTCTCTGACTCTGCCTTTCTGTAACTCTGAATTTCAGATAAATAAATAGATCTTTTTTTAAAAAAAATAGTTAAGTATATTGCATGAAGGCAATTTAGTTGCCACCTGTATTTTGAAAGCTTTCTACTATATTATTTGTTGATTCCTATATTTGGAATATTATGGAGCAGTGGATGATAAATAATTTACCAAAATCTTCCTTATACTGAAATAGTAATTCCACTGAAAAAGTAAATGAAAATTATAGCTATTCCCCCAATAATTCAGGTAAAAGATTTATGCAGGATGTTCTCCCCTCCCCCCATGTATTTGGGTTGGGCGAGAAGGCATATTAATTTTGATTGAATCATAAGGTAGGCTATCTAGATTAACTTTCTGAGATAACTTTTCAACCTACCCCTTGGGGTTTCCCAGTGATGAAATGTTTCTTATTGTTCTCATGTATTTCACTTTCAGCAGGTTTTTGGCGAAGTCATAATTGTCAGGAAAGAACCATGGACAGAGAACATTTTTCTTGCTTCACTGCTTTCTTAAATCAAAACTTTGCTAAGGTGAGTCTCCAAAATAAATACTGAATTTTAATTAATAAAATCCTCTTTACAGTTTATCAGAAGTCTTTGGTATGGAAAATGATCTTAGTATGGTAGAATATACTTGTTAGAAACATTTAGAAAAGAAAATGTTCATGTAAAGAGATAAATTTTTGGGGCCAACGCTGTGGTGCAGCAGGTTAAAGCCCTGGCCTGAAGTGCTGACATCCCATATGGGCGCTGGTTCTAGTCCCAGCTGCTCCTCTTCTGATCCAGCTCTCTACTGTAGCCTGGGAAAGCAGTAGAAGATGGCCCAAGTCTGTGAGCCCCTGTACCCACGTGGGAGAGCTGGAAGAAGCTCCTGGCTCCTGGCTTCGGATCGGCACAGCTCCAGCCATTGTGGCCATCTGGGGAGTGAACCAGCAGATGGAAGACCTCTCTTTATGTCTCTACCTCTGTAACTCTATCTTTCAAACAAATAAAATAAATCTTGAAAAAAAAAAAAAACCGAAATGAATTTTGAGTGTATATTTGACTAGTTAAATTCTAAGACAGGTATTTACTGTCACGTAGACACTGACAGATTGTTCTGTCTACCAGAAAAGTACATTTTATTAGAGACATGGCAAATGTATTTAGATTAATGCATTCTGAGTTATAAATGTCTTCACTGTTAAATATATGTATCTAAATACACACATACATTTATATTAGTTTTAAGTAAAATATATGCAGTATATTTATACTGTATAATATATATTGTTATTTATAGAATACTGAATATTTAGTAATTTATAAAGTGAAATATGGGAATTACTCAAATGAGGAGTAAAAATAGAAGGCACCGGATGACAGAATAACGTCATGACCTTTATGGGGAGAACCAGACCAAGGTAGAGCAGAGCAAGGCAGGCTTTTGATTTGGTTGTCAAATGCCAAACAGTTGTGGTATAGTAAATACGGAAAATACATGAGCATTTGGGAAGCAAATTTGCTTTGAGATATTCATTTATCACATGCAGACACTAAGAAAGTTTTTCTTTTTTAATCATTTGAAAATTCAAATACTGGTCACTGAGGTAGATGAGGCATATGAAGCAGTAACATTTTCCTAATTTAAGCAAATACTGCGTCTCTGTAGAAAATTCACACTCAATGGAGTGTTGACAATGGTGTATGATGTAAGCTAACACATGAATAATATCTGAATTTATTCTCATTGGTTCTTTTTGGGGAGATTATAATTTTTATCAAGGTAGTACAAAGTTATATACAATATTAAATATCACTACAGAGCTTATACTAAAAAGAAATTGATTCTTCCTTCCTCCCCTGACCTGTGCTTCCCAGATGTTTTTATTTTCTATTTTTAAGGTTAATTTATGTATCTGAAAGAGTTAAAGAGAGAGAGAAGGAGAGGGAGACAGAGAGAGAGAGAGAGAGAGAGAGATCCTGCATCCGCTGGTTCAGCCCCTAAATGACCACAGCAGTTGAGGCTGTGGCAGGCTGAAGCCAGGAGCCAGGAGATTCTTCTGGGTCTCCCATGTGGGTGCAGGGGCCCAAGCATCTGGGCCATCTTCCACTGCTTTCCCACGTGCATTAGCTGGGAGCTGAATCAGAAGTGGAGCAGCTGAGACTCAAGCCCGTGCCCTTGTTGGATGCCGGTATCACAGGCGGTGACTTTACCCACAACACCACAGCACCGGCCACCCTCACCCTGTCCCAATGCTTTTAAATCATTGGCAGTTTTTCCCAACATAAATTGCTGGTTGCTGAAGTTCTTTTCCTTCATTTTTAAATTTTAGACACTATCTATTAGTTACTCATTCAATACTTTCATTCCCTATCATCCTAACATATTTCTAACCTGATTTCTACTTGACTAAATATTTAGTGTTACCATTATGTGAGTGATGGTCACTGGTAAGCCATGTAGTGTGCTTCGACTGCTTTGTGTAAGTACAGCCTTTTGTCTTCTTTGGCACTGAGAATTGCCCAAGTTTCTATCTTATCAATTTTCTATCACTATGAGTAAGCGTTTTATTAGATTTTTCAGATGTTTATTAATACTACATTCAACATTTCTGATAATCTATCAGCTGTCTCTGTCCTCCTGCCCCTGTCTAGACCGGCTGTTACCTAGATTGCGTAGATTGTCATCCCATATACAATAGTCCCCCTCTGTATCGTATTCTCCCCTTACCAACAGGGGATGCATTCCAAGACACTCAGCAAATGCGTGAAACTGTGGATGGTACTGAACCCTATATAGATGAAGACACTTAAAAAAATTCCATGGGAAATATGTTTTATGATAAACTACATGGATTTCAAATTCTCTTTGCACCAAAATGAGTCATATTTTATTTTTAAGAAATATTTATTTATTTAAAAGGCACAGTGACAAGAGAAGAGTAGGAGAGACACAAAGAGAGATTTTCTTTTTTAAGTCTGTAGTGATAGACATTTTTTAAAAAGATTTATTTATTTATTTGAAATTCAGAGTTACACAGAGAGAGGAGGAGAGGCAGAGAGAGAGAGAGGTCTTTCATCTGCTGTTCACTCCCCAGATGGCTGCAATGGTCGGAGCTGTGTCAATCCGAAGCCAGGAGCCAGGAGCTTCTTCAGGGTCTCCCACATGGGTGCAGGGGCTCAAGGACTTGGGCCATCTTCTACTGCTTTCCTAGGGTACAGCAGAGAGCCAGGATGGGAACCGGCACCCAGATAGGACGTCGGCACTGCAGGTGGCAACTTTACCCAATACACCACAGCACTGGCCCTGAGAGAGATTTTCCATCTGTTGGTTTACTCCTCAAATGCTGCAACAGCCAGGACTGGGCCATGCCAAAACCAGGAGATGGGAACTCCATCCTGGTCTCCTATATGGGTGGCAGAGACATAAGAATTTGGGCCATTTTCTGCTGCCTTACGCAGGCACATTATCAGGAAGCTGAGTTGGAGATGCAGCAGCCAGGAATGGAACTGGCATTGCAGGTGTTGGCAACTTAACCCATTGAACTACAATGCTGGCCCCAAATTTATATTTTAATTCCATTTAAAAAAATACATTCATACTATGTCTTTTCCTGTACATGCAAGCCTATGATAAAGTTTAATTCATAAATTAGGCACAATAAATGATAAACAATATAGCAAATAATAAAGCAGGGCAATCATAACAATATATTGTAGTGAGCTATGTGAATGGAATCTTTTTATCTCTCAGATATCTTACTGTACTGAAGTCAGCTTTCTTCTTATGATGATATGAATTGATACAGTGCCTATATGATGAGATGAAGTATAGGCATAGTGAAGTAGCTTTGGGCTACTGTTGATCTCCTCCATTGATCTACAGGAAGCTGTTCTGAATCATATGTTCATATATAGCTTAACTTTGCCTGGGATGTGAATTATCCCTTGGTCTAGCTTGTCCATATTGTATATGCTACTGTACCTGTTAGTCACACAGAGCTATTTTGGTTACCAAATTGACTATCAATCTATCACAATTCTGTGTTCAGGTAACACTCTAAAATATCTTGCAATTTATAATGTGTGAATTGTTTGTTTCTGGAATTTTCTATTCAATATTTTTGGACCATGGTTCCCTGCAAGTAACTGAAATATGGGAAGCAAAACTGTAGATAAGGGAACATTACTGTACTACTTTTATATGTGACATCCTCTGTTTTCCAGGTTTTTTGTTAGGTCTCTAGTACAGGGACCCGCACTTCAGTAGGGTAAGAAAGAGTGCATGTTTGCCTTCCTGGTTGATTGTTACTGAAAGACAGGAACAGAATTCTAGGATGGAAGTAACTTGCTCTCACAAAGGGAAAGGCATTGCTTCATCACCTTCTGAACGTTGCTGTCAGTCAGTTTGATGATACCCATTCTGACTCCTCATCCTCCTTATGTGCCTGCTTTCATCCTTAATCTCCTGGAAATTTTAAGTTTATTCTTAGTGTCCTGAGATGTCATATTATAATTTGTTATAAGTCTTTCCTTATTCATCAGGCTGAGTATGTAATTGGACCTTCCAATCTGACATTGCATATTTTCACCTATGGTACAATTTGTTGTTGAATTTATTTGATAATTCCTCCCATCATTTTTCCCCCCTGTTATCTTCTTCTAGAAATCCTGTCATACATTAGACAGCCTGGGATGAACCTTTAAAACATCTTATTTTTTCCTCTCTTACTGCCTATCTTTTTATCTTTTGATATCACTTTTTAGGAGATCTCCTTGCCTTTATCTTCTAACCCTTTTACTGAACTTTTTGCTTGTTTCATGATATTTTTAATTTCAGTAAACTGATTCTTGTTCTGATTATTCCTACTTTTTAAAAAATCATCCTCTTCTTGTTTCATAGATATAGTATCTTCTTTTATCTCTCTGACAATATAAGTTACAGCTTGTACTAAAGTCTCCTCCTTGCAGTCTTTGTTTACTGTGGAGTGTATTGTTGGTATTGGAAGCTTTTCTCAAATATAATTTTTGGTTATCTACTTGTATTTTTCATAATGTGACATTAATTTTATCCAGATGGAGGTAGGATATACTAATTTCCTTGCTTGAGTACATAGTATATTTACTTGACAGAATTCCATCCAATGGTGTGCCTACCCATAATTTAATCATAAGGCTCAAAACATTTTTTTAAAGATTTATTTATTTATTTGGAAGAGTTACAAAGAGAGGGAGAGACAGAAAGAGAGAGAAATTTTCTATTCATTGGTTTGCTGTCCCCCCACCCCCGAAATGGCCAGGGTGGTGCTGAGTTGAAGCTAGGAGCCAGGAGCTTCATTCAGATCTCCGTGGATGGCAGGGGCCCAAACCACTTGGGCCATCTTTTGCTGCTTCCCAGGCCATTAGCAGGGAGCTGGTTCAGAAGTGGAGCAGCCAGAACACAAACTGGCACCCATATGGGATGCTGGCATCCCAGGTGGCAGTTTTACTCACTATGCCACAGTGCCAGACCCAAAAACATTTCTTTTTTTATGTAAAGGAAATACTCAGGTTTCTAAGCCATCAGCCATTGTGAATGCCTGCAGGGTAAATTGATGGCTGTGTTCTTGGTATCTACCTATTTGTACTCTTTTTTTATTTTTTTAATTTTTTTGACAGGCAGAGTGGACAGTGAGAGAAAGAGACAGAGAGAAAGGTCTTCCTTTTGCCATTGGTTCACCCTCCAATGGCTGCCACGGCAGGCGCTGCGGCCGGCGCACCACGCTGAGCCAGGTACTTATCCTGGTCTCCCATGGGGTGCAGGGCCCAAGTACTTGGGCCATCCTCCACTGCACTCCCTGGCCACAGCAGAAAGCTGGCCTGGAAGAGGGGCAACCGGGACAGAATCCGGCGCCCCGACCAGGACTAGAACCGGTGTGCCGGCGCCGCAAGGCGGAGGATTAGCCTAGTGAGCCGCAGCACTGGCCCTATTTGTACTCTTAAATTTTAACTTCCTTTTTTTTTTTTAAAAAAAAAGATTTACTTATTTATTTGAAAGTCAGAGTTACACAGAGAGAGAAGGAGTGGCAGAGGGAGAAAGAGGTCTTCCATCTGCTGGTTCACTCCCCAATTGGCTATCATGGCTAGAGCTGTGCTGATCCAAAGCCAAGAGCCAGGTGCTTCTTCTGGGTCTCCATGTGGGTGCAGGTGCCCAAGCACTTGGGCCTTCTTCTACTGCTTTCACAGGCCATAACAGAAAGCTGAATCTGAAGTGGAGCAGCTGGGGCTCAAACCCATGCCCACATGGGATGCTGGCACTGGAGGTGGCTTTACCCGCTATGCCTCAGCGCCGGCCCCAAATTTTAACTTCTTTTGTTAACAGTCTTCCATCTGTTTCCTGACTTTCAAAAATTCATTATTTTTTGTCTGCCAGTATTCATTTTCTTTTGCCTTATGCTTTATACCATCTTTTTTTCCGGGGTTTCAGAAACATGTGGAGACAAACACATCTAATTAATCTGCCATGTTAAACTAGAAGCTCCTTAATGGTTTTTGATTTTGGAAATTTGGCTCATGGATACAAAGATATCTTTTTTGTCTTAGAAATATTAAACTGGGGTGGATGTTGTGGTACAGTGGGATAAGCCAGTGCTTTGGACTCCCACATCCCATATAAGAATGCCTTATTTGAGTCCCAGCTACTCTGCTTCTGATCCAGCTTCCTGCTAATGAACATCCTGGGAGGCAAAAAGCGATTGCTCCAAAATTTGGGTCCCTGCCAATGTGTGGAAAACCTGGATGGAGTTCCACACTTCTAGTTTCAACCTGGCCCACCCTGGCTGTTTCAGCCATCTGGGAAGTGAACCAGCAGATACAAGATCTCTGGAGTTATCCAAATTTGTCTCCTTCTCAAAGTAGAACATGGATTATTAATTTGTCATCTGCTATCCATTTTTCTTTCTTCTTTAGTAATAGACTTTTCAACTAGTTCCATGACCACCCAGAACAAACACTGCTCTTCCTGGCTTTTCTGCACATAAGCATAGGCATATAACTAAATTATGGCCAATGAGATATAAGTGGAATTGTCTTGTGGCAACTTCTAAGAACCTTCCTTAGAAGATACTTGGGACATACCATTTGCCTTGTTCTTCATCTATTCTTGAATGCTGCTGCTTTCTTGGACCCTGAGGATCAGAGCTACATCCTAAGAATGGTGGAGCTGTGAGCCCAGAGCCTGTTCACTGGGAATTTTGTGGAGAACCACTGTACCAGCTCTGGACTTGTTCGGTGCATGTGAGAGAAAATTAGAAATATACCTTTTTGTGCCACTGTTTTTTTTTCATATTTTATCATGTTTATTGGAACTTAATCCTAAATGATACACTGAGGCTTACTTGCTTATCTCTTCTTTCAGTTGAATAAACTGCTGCATTATCTCTTCTGCAAACTTTTTCATTGCTTTTGTTAAGTTAGACGGATTTTGTTTCTGAGACTGCTACAAAGGTTTGTACCAGTCAGAGAAAGGTTTAAAATGTCAACATCACGGCAGTACTCACAGTCAGAAAACTGATTACTGAGGCCTATAGTCCAGCAGTTCTCAACAGGTGACACACACCTTTGGGACATTTTGGAAACTTATAGACCCTTTTTAGCTTATTAACATAATTGGAAGATACTTCTAGAAGTTCTACGTTGTATAAGACATACCCGTACTTCAAAAACTTGGTCTGTAAATTGAATAAGACTTTCAAATGTCTTATTGGATTTTCATGTACATATAGAATTTATTATCTGTGCCTATACCCAACTCCATTTTATATAAGGATATGTGTAGTTTTATGTATTTTTTTAATTTATGAATTTTCTAGGATTCTAACTATTAAATAAGCCAAAGAAATTTTGTACATTGGTTTCTGGGGAACTTTACGAAGAGTTGCTTACTGTTTTGGAAACTTATGTCCTGGACATCACCACTCATGGTATTGGAGTCTCCAATTCAGTTTCATGCTTTGTATTTGTGGTTGTTACATTCATGGTGATTCTGAGACTACCCCAAGATGTAAGCTTCTGAGTGTCTGAGAGTTTACATTCTGTGACATATATTACTTTATTATAAGTGGGTTTTATTAATGCTTTTAAAATATAGTTAGATCATTACATTGGTATTAAAATGTTTTGTATAAATTGTGTTACCTATGAATTCCATTTCAGGATTGTAAAGGAGACATTTTAAAATAGTATTATAAAAGGAGCTGCAGGCATAGGCCTGATAGGACTCTAGCCAGTTAAAATAAGTCAAATCTATAAGGCTAAAAGATGGGAATAACATCTGGGAGGTGCTAAGTAGGGAGGTATGAGCTGATCCTTCAGGTAATCCCCTTGACATGGCTCAGGGGCTTCTCTACATATCTCATTAGCCATCAACATTGCCCTGCCTCTGACCTCCTAAATCATGGATTACATTTGTCTTCATCTGAGGGAATTCTTTTGTAACTGACCTCATACACCAGCCACCTCTGTTCAGCTTCTATCTCATTACCCTTGTGATACTGGAAAACAGTATTTGTAGATACAGATACCAGATAAATCGATTTAGGAAAATGTAAATCTGGTTCCACTTTTACTTCCTGTAGAGGATATTATTAGCATATTTTCCATATGAATAGGGGCTGTCATAAGCCATATGCAGTTCACCATATAGCATATGCCTGTTTCAAGGCATATTTTAATATAGCACAAAGGCAAAGAGATTCAACTTGAAATGTTTCCTGTGTGTTTTGGTTTAGACTTTTTGGCTATCATGAAGCTTAAGTTAGTTTTCTGCATATATGCCATAGAATGAGCTCTCAATAAATTAGCTAACAAAGTTAAACAAGCGGAGAAGAATTTTGGGCAAAATAAATTATTAGAATTTCAACTCAGTCTAGGCAGAATCTGACAGATTTTGCAGTTGAAGCCATTTTACTAGGTGGACAAAAAAAAAAAAAAAGAAAAAAAAAGAAAAGCTGGAAATAGCATGGCTGGCAAAGAAGTAGGAAGATATGGCATCAATAATTAGACTCTGTAAAGCACATCATCCCATATAGCAGATACCTTCATGGGTTCAAGAAATATTGATTGAGTCCCATCTTACATCAAGTACTATGTTAGTTCCTAGGGAAACAATGGTAAACAAAGATAGAGACAATTCCTGACCTCAAGGAATTCACAATCTAGTGTGGAAGATGGACAATAATAATAATTTTAAAACCACTTATCATTATATAGTCACAGATGGACTTGCATACTGTTAATGAAAGGAACCTCAAGTAAAGAACACTGACTGTACTGAATTGCTTTAGCCCCTCCATCCTATTGTGCTCCAGGAGGTTGCCTCTGTGGCCTCCAGCGAGAGGCAACCTGCCTCTCTGTCCTCAGTCTGGGGGTTTGACCCATGAGCGGTATCAACAGCAGACTAAGAGGACAGGAGCAGAGTAAAATGAGGCTAGTCTCTCCCCTTCTGTGCAAGGCTATGGATTGTCATCTTCTCTTTGCTGCAAGCTGTAGCTATTCTCTGCATTCTAGGAGCTACCCATCTCCTACTCCCTTAGGTGAAGAGTGAAAGGCCTTCCTGCTGTTGCTGGTTGCAGATGCTTCATTATAGCTAGTTGACTTCCCTTAACTGTAACACACATTTGTAAATGGTTCCTTCAATGAATTCACTTTTTGTCCCTTCCTTTTCCTGCCAGTAGCCTGACACTAGCCTGGAATAGAGGAGAGTGGGTTGCTAGTAATGAAAAGAATATTACAGGAAGACAGGAAAGCTTGATAAAAGAAATGTCTGAAGGAAGGAACACTGTAGCTGGAGTGTGGAGAGGGTGGGATGGGATGATGCCAGAGAAGGAGCAAGGGTGAAATCAAGTTCTAGCAAATATTTTCCTTCTCCCTCTTCTTCTTTCTCTCTCTTTCTCTGCCTCTCTCCATCTCTCCCCTCAGAATTTGGAACCCCTTCTTGTGTTTGGGGATTTTTTACTGGGAGGCCAGCTAGTCTAACATTGCAGAAGTTAAGCTCTCAAACTGCTAGGTGTGGGCGCATGGCCTGGCTTCAGCCTGTCAGGTGCATCCACTCAATTTTTTTGGAACAAGATCCAGAAACAAAACAGTGAGGAATTGTCTTCGTGCCTTGGCCAGACTTCCAGAGTATTGGCAGTGCAGGCTGCAGCATCCATTTCCTGAGCTTGACCCAGCCTTCCCATAGGCTTTCATATTTTTCTTCATAAATTCGGTTTCTTCTTCCTAGTGACAATATTCTTTTTTTTTTTTGACAGGCAGAGTGGACAGTGAGAGAGAGAGACAGAGAGAAAGGTCTCCCTTTTTGCCGTTGGTTCACCCTCCATCAGTGGCCGCCGCGGCCGGCATGCTGCGGCCGGCGCACCACGCTGATCCGATGGCAGGAGCCAGGTGCTTCTCCTGGTCTCCCATGGGGTCTTTTTAGTACATTTCTTTGCCTTTTTTTTTTTTTTAATTTGAGGGTGACAAAGACAGAGAGTGAGCTCCCATCTGCTGGTTCATTCCACAAAGGCCTGCAGTGGCTAGGGCTGGGCCAGACTGAAGCCAGGTGCCAAGGTCTTAATTCAAGTCTTCTAGGTGGGTGTCATGGGTTCTACTTGAGTAATTACCACTTAAGCCATTAGTGGTAGCTCTCAGGCTCCATCTTACCAGGAAGCTGGCATCAGTAGTCAAAGCCCAGGTATTGAACCCAGACATCCCAGTATAGGACATGGCTTTCTGGACCAGTGGCTTAACCACTAAGCCAAATGCCTTCCCCCATTTCTTTGCTTCCTAAATTTACTTTTAAAATTAACATCATTGGGGCTGACATTGTGACATAGAGAGTAAAGCCACCCCCACAATGCCGGTATCCCATATGGTGCTGGTTTGCTCCACTTCCAATCTGACTTCCTGTTAATGGCCTGAGAAAGCAGCAGAAGATGGCCCAAGTGTTTAGGCCCCTGCCACCCTTGTGAGAGACTCAGATGAAACTCTTGGCTCCTGGCTTTGGCCTGTCCCAGTCCTGGCCATCTGGGGAATAAACCAGCAGATGGAAGATCTCTCTCTTTGTCATTCCCTTTCTCTGTATAACTCTGACTTTTAAAGTAAATAAATAAATCTTTTTGAAAATTATAATTTTTATTAATGGCTAAGAAATCTGATGATTAAATACACTGTTTTGACCAAGACCACTTTGCCTTATAGCCTATGCTAAGAACCTATGTCATAGAACTAAGGGAAACCATTGAAGGCTTTTTAAAAAAATTATTGATTTTTTATTTGAAAGAGAGAGAGATCTTCTATCAACTAGTTCACTCCCCAAATGGCCATAAAGGCTGGAGATGGACTGATCCAAATCCAAGAGCTGGGAGATTTTTCTGGGTCTCCAACATGTGTTCAGGGACCCAAGGAATTGTCCTATTTCTGCTGCTTTCCCAGGCACATTAGCAAGGAGCTGGATTGGAAGTGGAGCAGTCAGGACTTGAACTGGCACCCATATGGGATGCTGGTGCCACAAGCTGGGGCTGAAGGCTTTAAGCAGCAAGAATGAAGTGGTGGCAGTGACAAGACCAAGTCTGCATTTTGAGGAAATCTCTGACTGCATTGGGTAGGATCTAGATTAAATATAGGGAGATAAAAAAATAGGTGATGTTGACTTAGACTAGAAATTGCAGGGGAGACATAGATAAGCTCAAGGATTTAAGAGATATGTGGCAGGGCTGGCACAGTGGTGTAGCAGGTAAAGCTGCCGCCTGCAGTACCAGCATCCCATATGGGCACCAGTTCGGTTTCCAACTGCTCCATTTCTGATCTAGGTCTCTGTTATGACCTGGGAAAGCAGTGGAAGATGGCCCAGGTCCTTGGGTCCCTGCATCCATGTGGAATACCTGGAATAGCTCCTGGCTCCTGGCAATTTGGGATTGGCCCAAATCTGCCCATTGTGGCCATTTGGGGAGTGAACCAGTAGATGGAAGATTCCTCTCTCTCTCTCTCCCCCTCTGCCTCTCTGCCTTTCAAATCAATCAATCAATCAATCAATCTTTAAAAAAGAGAGAGCAATGTGGCAAGTACAGTTGCTTTGATTGGAATGGGAGAAGGTTAAGGAAAAGAGGCATATCAAGGTTAACCCTCAGTTTTTTGCTTCCTTAAGAGGACATTGAGTTCATGAAGCCCAGATACTTTTAAATCCTTGATTGCTACCAATGACTTAATGTCTGATCAAAATGATTTTTCCATTCTTCTATGCTTTTATATACATACATAAACTTGTTGGAGTTGGATGACATTTTACACTTATATTTTCTTCAGATACAGACTCTGAATTCAAAATGTGTTTCAGTGCTTGGCTGTGAGTGAGGAGGAGAAACACAGTTGGTTTCTGAGTCACACTGTGAAGTAGTAGTCAGTGCTGAGGATTCAGCTGCAATGCCTGATTCAACACGACCTTGGGCTGGTGTGAGTAGGAGGAAAACCATTTTTGAGAAGCCAGAATTGTCCTGCCATCTGTCATTTTTAGGCTTTGCTTCTTACACAAAACTGGTGAATAAAACTTTTAACAGGCAGTAGCTGGAAAGGGATACATAGCATCTTCATTCATGAGAAAAGTCTAAATTTTGTTTTCCATTTAAGGACATTATTTAAATATTCTCTGGGCTATGTTTATGCATCCTAAATTGAATTATATAATGTTCACTGTCATCAGTACTTCAATCAGGACCTCACATTGGGAAATTGTGAAACTAGCATTTGCTGCTAACTGTGATTCACAACTTCCCCCATGTGAATCAAGCTATATTTAGGGTCTTTTCCAAACTGACTTATTTATGACTTTTCCCAACAAAAGTTGTAAAATTTCCATTAATTTCGCGTTTACTTTTTATTATTCTGCCAAATACATTTCTGTATACATACCATACATCCTTATACACACCATGCATTTAATTAACTCCCACTAATCGTAGGTGTTGCTGACTCCATTTTACACATAAAGGAATTAGAAGTCTTAATACTGTTCAATGTTTTAAAATTTATTTATTTATATTGACTTATTTGAAAGGCAAGAGTCTCTCTCTCTCTCTCTCTCTCTCTCTCTCACACACACACACACACACACACAGCCCTTCCTTCCTCTGGTTCACTCCCTAAAAGCCCACAATAGTTGGGACTGAGTCATGTCATAAGCAGGAGCTCAGAACTCCCTCCAGGTCTCCCACATGGGTGTCAAGGACTCAAAACTTGAGTCCTTACTTGCTGATTCCCAGGGTGTGCACTGTCAGGAAACGGGATTGGAAATAAAGGCAGGACTTAAACTCAGGCACTCCAATATGGGATGCTGGTGTCCCAAGTGGAGTCTAAAATGCTGCAGCAAACACTGTCCCTAGAAATACTATTTTGAACCTAGATGTATGTTGTTAGGCCTATGCCAAATCACTATGCCATAAAACCATCTGACTTACTGTTTCCTCTCATTTATTCAGTGTTCCCTGAAGTGATGTCAATATGAAATGTATTATAATTATTTTGAAATTGAAGACATCTAATAGATACAAAAGCACAGATAAGTAAATTAATGGATAACATGAGGAATTAAATAGTTAAAAGAATGTAAGTGGTGGGCATTGTGGCATAGCAAGTTAAGCTGTTGCTTGAAATTCCTACATCCTGGGGCTGGTGCTGTGGCATAGAGGGTAAAGCTACCACCTGCAGTGCTGGCATCTCGTATGGGCACTGGTTGGAGTCCCAGCTGCTCCACTTCTGATCCAGCTCTCTGCTGTGGCCTGGGAAAGCAGTAGAAGATGACCCAAGTTCTTGGGTCCCTGCATCTACGTGGGAGGCCCAGAAGAAGTACCTAGCCCCTGGCTTTGAATTGGCTCAGCTCTGGCTGTTGCGGCTAATTGGGGAGTGAACCAGAAGATGGAAGACCCCCCCCCCCCGCCTCTTCTTCTTTCTCTGTATAACTGTTTTTCAAATAAATAAATAAATCTTTCTTTTTTATTTTTATTTTTTTGACAGAGTTAGACAGTGAGAGAGAGAGAAACAGAGAAAGGTCTTCCTTTTCCATAGGTTCACCCCCCAAACGGCCACCACAGCCGGCATGCTGCGGCTGGAGCACTGCGCCGATCCGAAGCCAGAAGCCAGGTGCTTCTTCCTGGTCTCCCATGGGGGTACAGGGGCCCAAGCACTTGGGCCATCCTCCACTGCCTTCCCGGGCCACAGCAGAGAGCTGGCCTGGAAGAGGAGCAACCAGGACAGAATCTGGTGCCCCAATCGGGACTAGATCCGGCGTCACAGGCAGAGGATTAGCCAAGTGAGCCATGGCACAGGCCATAAATAAATAAATCTTAAAAAAAAAAAAAAAAACTCCTACATCCTGTATCAGAGTATCTGGTTCCAGTCCTGACTTCTCCATGATTCTGACCCAGCTTCCTGCTAATGTGCCGAGAAATAGCGGATGATGGTCCAAATACTTTGGTTCCTGCCGCCCATGTGAGAGTTCTAGGCTCCTGACTTAAACGGTTGTTGCAACCGTTTGGGGAGTGGATCAGCTGATGAAATATCTCTTTCCCTCCCTTCCTTCCTTCCTTCCTTCCTTCCTTCCTTCCTTCCCTCCCTCCCTCCCTCCCTCCCTCCCTCCCTGCTTGGCAGAGTGGACATTGAAAGAGAGAGAGACAGAGAGAAAGGTCTTCCTTTGCTGTTGGTTCACCCTCCAATGGCCGTCGCAGCCAGCGCGCTGCGGCCGGCGCACCGCGCTGATCCGATGGCAGGAGCCAGGTGCTTCTCCTGGTCTCCCATGCGGGTGCAGGGCCCAAGGACTTGGGCCACCCTCCACTGCACTCCCTGGCCACAGCAGAGAGCTGGCCTGGAAGAGCGGCAACCGGGACAGAATCTGGCGCCCCGACTGGGACTAGAACCCGGTGTGCCGGCGCCGCAAGGCGGAGGATCAGCCTAGTGAGCCGCGGCGCCGGCCGAAAGATCTTTTTCTCTCTCTTTTTCTCTATCACTCTTTCTTTTAAATAAATATTTATTTATTTTTAAATATTTTAAAAATTTATTAATTTAAAATTTAAATATTTTTAAATAAATACATATTTTTTTAAAATATTGAGACTATATATTTTTTAAAATGTGATTGGCTAAAGGAAGTCATCAGGATCTCTAATCAGTCCAGAAAAATTGACCACTCTCTGATGGAATCATCCACTTGACTCCTATATTATAAACTAGGATGAGGAATAGTTTTCTTTCTTTCTTTCTTCTTCTTCTTTTTTTTTTTTTTTTTGACAGGCAGAGTGGACAGTGAGAGAGAGAGAGAGAGAGAGAGAAAGGTCTTCCTTTACCGTGTTCACCCTCCAATGGCCGCTGGGGCCAGCACGCTGGGGTCGGCGCACCGCGCTGATCCGAAGCCAGGAGCCAGGTGCTTCTCCTGTTCTCCCATGCGGGTGCAGGGCCCAAAGACTTGGGCCATCCTCCACTGCACTCCGGGCCACAGCAGAGAGCTGGACAGGAAGAGGAGCAACCAGGACAGAATCTGGCACCCCGACCGGGACTAGAACCCAGTGTGCTGGTGCCGCAGGCAGAGGATTAGCCTAGTGAGCCACGGTGCCAGTCAAGGAATAGTTTCATAAGCTTTTTAAAACATCAAACTAGGTACATTAAAATAAAGGGAATATACTGGATGAATCAAATGACAGGGTTTTAATCTGAGCTTTGATTCTCTTTTTTAAGAATTTATTTATTTATTTGAAAGTCAGAGTCACACAGAGAGAGGAGAGACAGAGAGAGAGAGAGTGATTCTTAATTTTGTATGAACTTGGGCAAATCAGTTGACATCTTAGAGCTCCTGTATCCTCAGATGCTATCATTTTTCTCATACAACATGTATGAGGATTAAATGAGTAACTAACAGAAACTACTTATAAGCTATAAAGCATCATACAAATATGGACTTGTGGTTAAGTTACTTGAGTCCCTAAAAGTTTGAATTTCTGGAAGTAAAGTTTAGGACAACTATGCTTGTGTTCCTATAAATTGCAATACCAACCATAATTTTTTTATTTGCTAAATCTTCACATGACTTTTCTTACAAAAGAAGCATTGCCATTATATAAAATTTACAGACCAATAAGCTGAAATAAGTTCTTCAAGGTCAGAGAATCAAATAAAGTTGGGATTTATTTCTACCTTTCACTGTGTATTTTTCCTTCTTTAGAATACCTTTGCTTCACACCATTTATGGAAAAAAATGTAACTTAAGTATCTATGGTTAAATTTAGCAGATGATGTTGAAAGATGAGACTAGGAGAATATTTTTAGAGAGAAAGCCTATATAACATGAATTGTTATCTGCTAGGGAAAAATTGGGTTTCAGTTATTCCTAGAACTCAGTCTAGAAAATTTATTCATCACTAAAGGGAAAGTCTGTGATGAGTATACCTAACATTCTTTTTAAAACACTTCAACTTTGAATTTATATTTGACAGTGATTTATTTTTTCATATGTGAGATGTCCCAAACTTACTGATATGTCCACATAGTTGCCTTGCAAATCTCCTGGGGAAAGTAAAACATAACAAATCAATAGAAAAGTAGCAGTTGAGGGACTCCTTAAAGTTAAACTGCTTGCCCTTTACAAATAAAGGCTATAAGTATGAATTCTTTATTATCAGACTAAGTGCTTTGGTTATCTTAAGAATCAAGTATTTTAGCTCTATCTCTGTAATACATAGAACTTATGAAAAATATTGAGGAGAAGGAGCACACTTGTTTAGTGTGATGTTTTATTTTACAGGTATGTTTTGACAGGGAAGTTGTCTGGTTGAGTGTGTCTCCTATAAGCCCATTTCTTACATTAGAACTGATATTTCTATGTAAAGGGAGACTGATTTTTTTAGCCTCCTGGGATATTCTCTGCTCTTTAAATTACTTCATCCCAGGATGTGAGGAATGATTCATTATATTTCTGAATTTGTGAGAGGAACTGGTTTGTATACACCTGTTTTTAGGGACTTTTTGGTATGTCTTATCTGCCTTCAAATAGTGTGCTGAATGTTTCCTTACTAACAGAAATGGATTGCAGGCAGCTAGATGCCCATGTCTGGTCACAGGTAGTCACCTGATACAAATTGGATGAATGAGATTCTCTTTCTCTAAGGATCTGACAGGGAAAAATAAAGAAAATCAATCTGGCCTTGATACATATATAAAGCCAGAAGTATTGGGATGGCCATTGCTATCCTCCCATGTGGACTGGGAAAATATAACTTCAGCAAAAAAAGAAACATGAATTAGGTTGAAAGGGAACCATGTGGTTCTGATAGCTTTTTGCTTCTAAAATCTAGTTTTTTTCTATAGTCTGGTCAAATTTCTGACATTGATTATTACAAGATGACTGCATCATACAATAAATTCCCTATTTTTGCTTTCCTAGTTGCTTTCTGATACATTTGCCCAACATATATTAATTGATAACATCCTCTAAGTAAATAATCTTACCTAGGCTGTTTGAGAAAGAGGCTGCAGAAAAGTGTGTTTATTGGTCAGCCATTTTAGGTGGTCAGCCACTTTAGGTGGTACAATATAATTTTATTCTGAATATTCTTTCTTGGTTTAATTTCTAAAACATTATAATATGTAGAGAGCTCATAAAATATGGGTGGGCATGTGTGTGGGGCATTCTTAAGCAGACCTGGCAGGTTTAGTAAGTAGTAATGTGTTTCTAAATAAAGAGGATTTGGCCAGTTTTAGTAAGTAGAAATGTGTTTCTAGCTAGAGTTTTTGTTTTGTCATGAGGAAGAATACAACTGAGTTATTAAGAACAGCTAACCAGATACTGAACACCTGCACACAATGGGGATTGGGAGTGCTCTAGCCAAGCTTGTCAGAAATACCTATTAGATATTTAAAGTAAGGAAAAAATGTGTTCAGTAGTGGTTTTTCTTATTAGTTGTGGCATTACACAAAATGGTAATTCTTATTGATTCAATAATATAGCTGATATTATTATTTATTTAATTATATTTAATTTAATATTTAATTTAATATTTAATTATTATATATTATTTACATAATGTATGAAATTATATAAATGTGATATTAATAGTTATACTACATAATATATTATACTAAATATACATGCATAGATGTTTAATGTTATTAAATATATAATATATAAATGATATTTTATGTTTTAAACAAACATGTGACCATTTGTCTTTTCATCCATTAACATTAGTTGTATCTGTCCAGGAAGCATAAGACTGTTGCAATCTAGTTCTTGAGTCACACAAAATTATAGAAATTAGAAAACAGCTAGATTCTGATTTTGGATTCTGTTTAGCTGTGTTTTCCATTGTCAGCGTATGGGATTTCTGGTATTAAATGATCAGCACTAAAATATACCCCAAGACAATAATTAGAGGTACAAGGCTTTCATATTACCAAACCAGGAAATAATGTGGCTCAGTTTTGTCATATACAACAATAATTTGCCTGACATTCCCCACCAACCCTCTACTTTCCTGTAAGTTTGCATTAAAAAATTCTCACTGCCCAAATAAAGCAAATTGCAGGATGGATGAAAGGGCTCATGTGTTGCCACCATATTTAGAATACAGTGAAGGTGAACAGCTGATGAATATAGTAGCAGGTTGGTAAATTTTGGAATCTAGCTATATGGCTAATATAACTATAGTAGCAACATGTGTTTAAAAATACTATTAATTAAATTATGCGATTTTAGTAAAAGAGTGTATTGTATTTGAATAATTAAATTAAGCCTAAAGTAACATACTTGTATGGAGTAAGTTGAAGCTCAAGATTTTTTTTTAAAATATTTATTTGTTTATCTGAAAGTCAGAGTTACGAAAAGAGAGGGAGAGATAGAGATAAAGAGATCTTCCATCTGCTGGTTCACTCCACAAAT